AGCGTGCAATCAAAGTGAGCCTGAAACAAAACGAGACACGAGATACCTACAAACCATCCAAAAAACCATCAGCTCACATCACCTTCAAAATGAGCAAACTGCCCAAACATTTTGAGTCAGCGAAAGAACGCACCGGACCAGCAGGGAAACACGTAGCATTGAGTGGTTGGGCCGGTTCAACTCTGAGCGGATACTCGAGCGGTATGTCGAAATTTATCGAGTTCAAGAATAAAACTAAAGGAGGATTCGACGAAGAAGAACCGATCAGTGACGAAAACATCTACCATTTCATCGCATGGGCCGGAGAATCAAAAGCGGAAAAAGAAAACGGACCGAAGAAAGTGATAGCCGCGGTAACCATCAAAAAATACCTGGACGGAATACGGGCATGGCATATTGTGAAACATTTAGCCACACCCTCCGCTGACCGTGACGTTGTATCGACCTTGATAAATGCGACAAAGAGAAACGAAGAAGGAAAAGAGTTAGTGACAATCAAGCAGCCGATCATGATTAGACAACTCTTTCAACTGTTTAAAGAATCAATAGGAAAGTCGGACGAACTACAGTTAACGGCATCGGTGGCATTGATAGCCTTCTGGGGGATGGCAAGGCTAGGGGAGATCTTGAGGCAATCGAAGGCAGAAGGCGCGATCCTGAGGAAAAACGTCGAATTCGGAGAGAAGGGAGGCGTCCGATTCGCCAAACTATACCTTAGTAAAGCCAAGACAGCAGGCCCAGGCGAAGTCCAAGTGATTCATCTACAGCAGCAAAGGAACGTTTTGGACCCAGTCTCAGCACTAGAAAGGGTGTTACGTCTAAACGAAAGAGGTGATAGGGACGACTTACTTTTCGTCACGAAGGGACCTAGAGGCATAGTCCCGATGAAGAAACCTCAATTTGTAAAACTAGTGGAAGGGTGCTGGGGGAGATCAGGAGTGGAAAGCTGGTCTGGACACTCCTTTAGAGTGGGAGGAGCGTCGATTAGATATAATTTAGGGACCCCCGTAAAAATCATAGCAAAACAAGGTCGATGGAAGTCCCTAACTTATCTACGGTACTTCAAAGCATACTCAGAAGATGAGATAGAGGACACGATAAAGTTCTTAGAAGCAATCGAAGAATGAAATGGCATAATGTGAAATAAGAATTCAAGGTTTTAAAACAAAGATAACATAGAGTTCATGCGTCTGAAGGGAGACAACACAGAGAAACCTTAATTCCAATTAAGCAAACGCTTGTCATTCAACGAGGGGAGATAACATGGAGAAACCTTAATTCCAATTAGGTGCATGCTTGTCACTCAACGGAAACTTTAATTCCAATTAGGCGCATGCTGGTCACTCAACAGAGATTTCGAGAGAAACCTAATTCCAATTCAGCGCATGCTGGTCATTAGTGGAAACCTTCATTACAAAGACCCTGTCGGTGTTAGGGGGTAGCTCCTGGAAGGCTAGGCACCGAAAGGCTCGGAGACCCAGTTGTAGGGGATCCAGGAGCTAAGAAGAAACCCCTCGATCACGGAGGGCGGGCGGGTAAGAAGGTGAGAGCCCGGCCAGAAGAACCCCCCCTTGGTTCCGAAGAACCTTTTGGTTTTGCAGAACCAACGGGAGGCGGCCGGGCTCCGCCGCTACCGCAAAAGAACATCCTCTGACAATATGTAAGAGATGTTCCAGGCAATGGGTGCTAAAAGAGCAGCCAAACATTACATTGACCTGAGTTCAAAAGTGAGAGATACTACACTTTTGGAACTCAGGAGGCTCGTGAAAGGAACTCAACTCACAAGCTATATGAGGAGTGGGTCGCGATATCAGCGACGTCATGCGCATGTGAGCGCACGTTTTCGGCCGCTGCCAATGTTTGTTCGCCTGCAAGAGGGAGTATGTTGCCTAAGACCATGGAACGATTGGTCGGCTCCCAAGCTTGGTTAAAGGAGGGCATAATCCCCAATGGAGCGTTTGCTGAGGCGGCCAAGGTGCTTCAAGGCTATATGGAAAAAGCGGCGAAAAAAGCTGAAGCAGCTAGAAAGAATAATCGATAGCCCTTTATACAATTCAAACTCAAAAACTCCCTTGATACCAAATCTTTTCATTTCGTTATAGTTTTCCATTTCTTTTCATACAAGTCATAGATCGATCCCTTGATACAAATTAAAAAAAATGTTTTCTTATCGTTTCTTTTTGATTTTGCCCTTGACTTATAAGTGAAACCAATTTTTTTTCTATTTTGGCCTCATAGCGCGATATATAGCGATATCGTAGCGCTCTCTGCGCTACGATATTGTGAGAGGTTTTTTTTAAAAAAAATAGTGATTTGAGTTGTAGCGGTTCATTTCGCAGCCCCCGCACCGCAATCCAAGGAGCCCAGAAACCATGACGTTTCGTAGTGGTTCCTGTATTGCAAGTACCACTCAATGGGATGATTACCTAAGTTGATTATGGGATAACTGGTCTGATGGGGTTATTAACCGAGGTGGATGATTGTTAGGATTATTTCATTATTACTCAATATGTCGCAACTCCGGAAAAGCAACTTTTTATTCGATTATTCATTACTAATACATGTTAGCGCTCTCTACGTTGTTCAGGGTATAAAACCCGTGCTGTTGTCTTGTCTCAATTGTTTTTCTTCATTCCTTTTATAATATCATTAATCACAGTTTCAAGTTTAACTTGCTTCAGTTTACTACCGCGTCCATCTCACTCCAACCTACTTTAAAACTCGTTTGAAACCATCTTGGTTAGTGTTAGCCACACTCTTAGTTCTTTCTGAATCAATTTCCTTGCATTTATTTTTAATTAAGATCATTATAATAATCATGCATTAAGCTTGATTTGAGATCACTTGTTGTGTGTTTAACTGTGTTTAACTACACTTGTTGACACTAATTGATCAATCTCTTCCAATTGGGCTTTCTCTCCTCCACCTCATGGTCAACGTACATCTGTTTATTGTACTTTGATTTTGTGTGTTGCATTTGATCATACTTCAAATCATTCTCAAATTTTATCTGCCTAATTTGTTGGTTCCTGGCACTTATCTGCTTGGAATTGAATTGCTAATCAGACTTTCATGTAGCTATTCCATTGAAATGTAGAGTTGTTACATGTGCACATTCTTGATTTCAAGTAAACAAATGAAGTGCTCGAGTTTCTAATCTCAATTTTTTCAATTGTGCAAGATTGCAAAATCCAAAGGGTAAAACCAAATCAATTATCTTCTTAAGTTATGGTGTTTCTCGTGAGCATGGCAAGCACGATGGAACTGGAGAGCACATCCGAGTGCGGTCGGGCGCGAGCGCTGTCATCCTGCATCGCAGCCTGTACAGACCCCAAATAAAACCATAACACCTATTTCCGGATAATCAATATCACATAACTTCTATCGTGACCCCCGAACTGGACACAAGATACCTCAAAGTATCACATCACCTAAGCCCATCCTCGATCATATCCACAAAGCCATGAGCCATGATCATGATCCAACACCACCGCGATCATCGACATCCAAGCATTGAGACGATGGACATATTTTTCCGCAAACAACTACGCACGACCTCGGCAATAGCCTTCAAAAACCATGCCTTCACACTCACTGTGCCTCCCGCATACCCCAATCACACATCAAACAAACCACAAAAACCAATGCCCAAAGCCCCTACCTCGATCATCAATAATAAGTACCTCAGACCCCTGGATCCCAACAAACCTTTATCGTATCCCATTGTCGAATCCGCCCCTACTGGATATATCTGCAATTCCGAAAAGTGCTTTTTCAGACCGGTACACTCATCGATTTACTGGACCCCACTCCGACAGAAACCATTGAATCCACTCACAGGCATATCTGTGAGTAATTTTCCTTAAACCTTTACCTACCCCAAGTACAAGATATTGAATCGAAATTGTTTCTTTGAGGACAGTGTCGATTCGACAAGGGTTATTTCAGGTCTTTTCCCCAAGCACTTTACGCGTCCAAGCTTCTTCAATTCAACTCTTCACTCGGCATACATCGAAACCCGATTTTTCAACTTCACCAAGTACTCCAACAACAGCAAGAAGCCGAACACCTCATGCAAATGTCACAAGCTCAATATCAAGCCCCTCCTACTCCTCCCGCCACTCAGCGCATCGCAGGTCCCAAATCCAACAAGTCGCCATGCCGTGGAGTCAAGGGTGTCACAGCGTCCGGTCATAGCCGGAGCAAGAACAACAGCTGCAGTGCCAATGCATGCTCTGAAGTAAGTACATCCTTTTGCATCGTTATTGTTGGGTAGCTCAAAACTAAAAAAGATATATTTCAACCACTTGTCAGTGCTGTGACAAGCTCAACGACGTACACTGCGTCCCTCACTCCGCCAATACTAAGAAGCGCAAGGCCAAAGAATCAATAAACGCTATCATTGACACCTTCAACAGCGGCCAGCCTGTCCAAGCACCCGCCCCCGCTGCTGCTCCAGTGCAACTGGCCGCCACCGCTCCAGTTCTTCCCGGACAAAGGGATCTTAGTTTAATTGTCCGTGGCAAAGACTCTGTTCAATTCCTCGACCTTACCGTCCGCAAACATGCCGCGGAACTTCTTAAGCAAGAGCAAGATAAACAGTCCAACAACAATGTGACCATATTTGTGTGGACGAATCCAACAGTACGTGGCTGTGTAGTTATATCTTCTTGTTTGTCTCTTCTGACGTTCGATTCGATAAACTTTGGTTCTCTTTCAGGCCAAGCCTCGCATGATTCGTACCTACATACCCACGTGGCCTCACTTCCGATTTGACTCATCGCAAGAGATTACAGGCTTGGTCAAGGAGGTCCTTGGCGAGGACTGGAATGGAATGTTGCAAGTATGGAATGAATACGAAAATTCATGGGTAAGAACAACTGATGCGTTTTGTTTTGGTAATAACATCAAATGCTAACGTTACCTTTATTAACTTGGTATCTTCTCTTCGTCTGTGTTTCTGTGTTTGATCTTCTATCTTCCTCCAGGCTCTCCTCTCGATGTCTTATATTGAAAAGTATACAATCGACACACTTAAGTTACTGATAGTATTCCCTGGAATCGATCCTGACCAATGTCTCAACGTTGATTTCCACTTGGCTTCTCTTGTCAAACCAACGGTATCGAGTGTTATGGAGTCACGAGCTATTCTACCATGGCTCCAAAAGCCACAAATGTTTGATCAGGAAGTCGTGTCCGCCATGCAACTTGACAGATCCCTAATTACCCACAAACCCAAAGCCAACAAAGTCGATATATGTTCATCTGAAGAAGAACTCGACTCTTTGCCAACGTTCGCCCTACCACCCCATCCGGTTCAGCCACCTGTTGGCCCACCTCGAGGAGTCAAACGAGCCCGTGTTGATGCAGCAGATTCTGATACTGATGATGTTCAGGTGGTGTCATCTGCTACCAGCTGGCCAGAAGGCGTCACCATGGCCCAAATGAATCAATTTTGGGTAGAGTCCAACAAGCTTTCAATCACCGAGGCCTGGAGAAAGATATGGGGACAGTCGTCCTTCACATTCAACTATTCCACCGTCACTCATTATCGCCGTTGGCTAGAAAGAATAGTGCAAAAAGGCGCGCTTCGATTAGAAACTTATGTTGCTGAAAACGGAGATCACACTATCAAACAAGGTAAGAGGGTTTTCCAGGATGAATGGCGGAAAGGAGATAATCGTTCTTTGCAACGGGAAGCAAATAGCACTAAGAAGGTAGTGAAACTTAAGCACTGATAATTTCCTGAGAGTTAGATAGTCTAGTATCTCCATCTATTTCTTATCTTGTTCCTCTTGTTAGATTGTTCCGGGAATGATCATATACATACTGTATCTTTTTTTCTTGATATTATATGTGACTATAGTAAAACATTGTTTGTTCAACTATTAATATTTTTCACGGCTACTGTGTATCTCAATAGCACCCATTGTTGGTGTTAAGTTAATTTTGGATGTATACATTATTTTTCACTTTTCCAAGTTACCATTGTAAATAAAGTAAATAATGTTCATAATAATGTCAATGATGATAATGTCCAACCAATACAAAAATGGAATGTTATTACACGCGGAATTAGTTTATAACTAAACCAGCGCAAATGCTTTAATTAATATTAAGCACGCGGTTTTGCATACTCAACATACACAAAAGATTTTCTTATTGGAATATTTTACAAATTGTTATGTTATGATCAAGATATGAACTCGTGGAGCACATTCTTCTTCAAAATCTAACATCCGATCAACACCTGACATCGCCTCCCTCATATATTCAACCATTGACGACGGAATGTCCAGAGAACACGATCACATGTCCGATCAGTTCGTCGCCGATGACCCTAGTAGTCTCCCTCATGAAATTCGAACCCATGAGGATGATGTCGAGGGCCAAGTTGTTAATCGATCACCTGATCGGGCCCGCAAACCTTCACCTATTGCCGTCGATCAAGACAAAGCATATGGCGATGATGACAACATCATCGACACCAGCTTTCAACCTTTGGATGCATCAGATCAGGCTGATATATCTAGTATGTGACTTATGTGATCTAAGTACATCACTTTTGGGGTTTCTTACTTCCCTTTTTGAATAACAGTGTCGACATTATCCTCCAAAACTTTGGATGGTTCAGAGCTGGCTGATATATCTAGTATGTAACTTACGTTAAATTTGTGATCAAACTACATTGACTTACCAATCAGTGTCAACAGTATCTTCCACGGGACATATAAAAAGGGCCGCTGTAGTACCTTACTATGAGTATATTGAAGATCTAAGTTCCAAAGAAGAAGGATATATTTATCGATTGAAACCGAAGAAAATTAAAGACAATGCTAATCATTACGATCAATACGAGGATGTTAACCAAATAGAAGATCGAATTGGATTCAGAGGATATTCCTTAATCAAGGCTGCTGCATGCAAAGATGAGGATTGGGTTGTGCGATGGATATATATTTATCACCGAGAGATTTCAGGCTGGTATCATCTCAAGTTCCATAATTCTTGGGATCAGATGGCGTCACAAGGGCATGCCCATTGTTTTGAGCGTGCTCTAAACAATAGGTACGTTGAAATGGCCCTGAGAAGCTTCATACACGATCTCTTCAAGAAGATGGATGGAGGCGGGCATTTGGAGATAGACCCTGTTATTCAATTATGGCACCAAGGTGCATCAGCTATGAAGGTTAGTTTCTACGTTTTGGAGGTATTGTTTCATCTTATATGCTTTGATAATACCTGTGGTATTATACGGCTTTATATCTTAAAATTACATTATTATTTCCAGGTCAGCCGGATGTGCGTAATGCAATCATCAGGCTCCCCTTACGACGACGAGCCTAGGTGGAAAATAATCGAAGAGCAAACCGCTGTTAGCCACCGATACATATGCAAGGACAACTATTACAATCCACCAGCAAGACGTGGAGTGTGGAGTGATCTTATTTATGCCTTTCATCATTACACCTATGATTTCAGTGCGAGCCAGACTTTGATTGCAAACCTGGACTGTGACCGGCATGGACACATAAGCAACGTTGTATGTTTGGATAAAAAGTGAGTGGTTCATATTGAATATTACTGACATCATAACGTTTCAATCTGATTCGTCCGTCATATGTGGTTAGGAGTACACCTTACCACAGCTGCGAAAACCCAAGTATAGCAGATAATATCAAACGTGCATTCAGACAATTTGCTGAGCAACATGAGTGTAATGAGATATGCGAAGTTCTTGGAAATGTGGCGTTAGGCAAATTGGATGCGAGTGAGAATAAGAAGTGATATGGTTGTTTTTGCAACAATGTTTGTTTGGTCTGCACTTTATGTATTGTATCATTTTGATTAACCAACGTAAAACATTGTATGTTTGGCATTTGCTTTTATGTATTATATTATCATTCGAATATCGTGTACAAGTGTTTGTTCTTTGTTTGATTTGTCTTTGGTTTTATGTTATGTATCATCTTGGTGATTCATAACTCGTGAACAAAGTTAAAACAGAGATTGATTGATATTAGGTTTTTGCACGTGGTGACGTCAAATGATTGTTGTATCTTTTGTTGGTTCACTCGTGAACAATATAATATTTATTAGGCTTTATTAATTAGGCAATTACCAAATAAAATACATGATACAAAGGTGATGACAACGTGGAAATCAATGATATGACTACGTGAAAATAAACAATAAACAATTATATTAATTAGGGTTGTGGTGACTCTGTCTTGTACCGTATGTTTCCAATGAAATCTACATTAGAGCAAGAAGATAACTTTGCGCAAGTTCGAACATTGTGCAGCCTAATCATCTCGTCAAGAAAAAAATTATACTTAACTTGATGCATGTTGCGGCACATGGAATCAAATCGACAAAACCAAGCATTTACAATTTCAGCAGCGGATGAGTTAAAACGCCAACTTCCATCGGAACGCTTCAGTTGAGGGAACAGATTGGGGTGATTGTTCGCGCAACAACTGGTATGGGTATCTTTGTGAGACTTGATATGAAATGCATTGACCGGTAAGACGGTGTTTCGAAAAGCATAAGCGTCTTCTGTACTAGTTTGGATGTGCAAATGCAAGTTGCAAGCGTTATCATAAAAGATAACCTGTGGCATTTCGTCTGGGAAAACCTCGCGAATCCATTCCTGTTGTTAGAGGAGTAAACTTAGTCAGTCAAAAAATGTCAGTGCTCAAAGTGAAAAATGCTCACCTTTACTTTAGTTACAGATTCAGATTTGTAGAATGATTTGCGGGCAATGATAACACCGCACGGCGACACCATTAACTGCTCGTTGTGTGTTCTGCACCGCGAGAGCAAGACTTTTGGTTTTTTTTGGCTAGATTCTCCACCATCACGAGCACCCTCATGCTCCCGCTCCTCGACTTCGGAGTACATTAGATCCTCTTCAGTGACCTGGACCTCTCCAGTCTCCGCCAATAACATCACACTTGGGTCTAGGCCAACGCGAGTATTCGGTCGAGTGAACTTCCTCGGCAGACCAAAAAAAGATCCGTTACGTTCTTTGAAAGCAGTGTAAGCTTCCGCATGTTCAGGATTAGAACAAGTGGATTGGCCGGGTTCGATTGGCGACATGCAAGGCTGAGCTGGGCAGCGGTTGTGGAGTGAGATGGTGTGTTCCGGGCAGTATCGATCATTTACCTTGTTGAGGGGTTGATCACAGTAGTTCAGGTTGTTAGTTGGATTGAGACATTTCAGTTGCAGCTCGGAAGCGCTGCAACACCAATGGCCTACAGTTACGCCGTCGGTCACTACTGCGCGTATGACTGATAGAAAGAAGCCACATTAATAAACAATCAAAAATAAATAATTGTATTAATTCACATACCTTTCGCATCTGCTGAACCCGGAATTGGTTCATAGTCAGTGCAAAGTGAACAAACGTGGGCACGGTAAATTGTACCCTCCTCTGCCGTCCACTTCGAGTGCTGTTTCATTGCGCTATGGAATCGCCGGTCGTCGGTTCCTCCGGCAGTGCTCTTGAGTCGCACCCCGCGTTCATTCGTCATTCGCATGAGGCGGTGTAAGTCTAACCCTAAAGCACATACATTTTCACTGAGAGATCGCTTGAATCGACTTTTCTTAAAATCGTTGGCGTAGGTGGTATCTTGCCTGGCGTTTGCTTCATTGTACGTCAGTACAATATTATGTACGGACACCCTGAGGTCAATTAACAGCCATTAGTGTGACTGTGACTGTATCAGTGCAAGAAGTGTGAACTTGAAAATAAAACTCACACTGCCATAGCCTGAAGATGGTTGAAATAGTCACACAGCTTGTGACTCATGTAAAAGTATTTGGTCACTTGAAAGTAATCTTTTGGTTGACCTTCGAGTGGAGTATAGTACTCCCGATGGTCGCTGTGGCGAACATAACAAGGCATATAAGTCGAGCTACATTCTAAGGAACATAAGTGGATTGGTCAATTAACTGCATCATGATCATGAACATATAACCCGTGGTGACTTACTCTCACAGTATGCGGAGAAGGTCTGAACACTTTCAATACCCCCTATATCGAATAAGTAGCCGAAAAGCTGGGGCCGGATGGTTAGTCGTATAGGGTCGCCTTCTTCAGTTTTACACGATAGACAGTGGGACGTGGGTGGATGGAATGTTCGTTCGGGTATTGTTAGGGCTTTTTTACTGTTGAGACGACTTTCAGAGGGTATACCGTTTTTCGTGAATATCGAGGGATCGTAGACGCAGGACGGAAGGGTATCATGCATGAAATACCACAAGGAAGCCCATGCAGTGGCTGGCTGAGATGGGTCGAGGGAATGAGTAAGAAACTCTATGGGCAGTTGTGTTGGTCCAGTCGCATAGACACCGTCAGTCCTGGTTAAGAACTCAGCGGAAAGTGTCGTGAATGCGGTGAGTTGCTTTATCGTGAGGGTGTCGTACGTGCGGGGGTCTAAAATAGATAACTGGTCGACCAGTTGGCGTAGTAGCATGATGGATGATAAGATATGAAAGTTGGATTTTTCGCGAGGGTGTGTTGTAATAAATGAGGTGCCTTGGGGTGCATGCTTCAATGTGAGGCGAAGCTCAAATAGGCTAATGACACTCATGTTATTGCCTGGAATGGGTGTTGATGATAAAATATTGTAGTTGTTGAGAAATTATTGATCGAATAGGGGTAATGCAATATCTGAGGAATGATCGATAAGTCTCATATTTCGCATAATGGTCCGATGAATGGCGGAGCTATGGGCTTCTATGGTTTGTGATCATGGAGTTAGAGAGGGTGAAGGGTGAAGGCGGTCTCGTTGCGCAGTACATTTTCACACGGCAGTATGTGACTTGTCACACGTCGGGCTGAATTGGGACGTGTGAAAATGGGATGTGGGAAATTGGTGCTCGCGTTTGCTCCGCTCAGGACCGCTCGCCAGTTCCTCACGCCTTGGAATTATCTGTGTTTCTCATGTACTTCAGTAAAACTTGACTGGCAGCCTCTGGTGTGTACATTGGTGAGTCAGATCATGATTGACCATTGAAATCACTCATTCTTCATCAGTCTTCATCCACTTACTACTGAATTGCAACTTGTCAGCCCTGAGTATAAATACATGTTCCCATCAACTTAGACAATCCACAGCCATGTGGCGTAAACCGTGTTGTACAAAAGTTTAGGGCAAAATAATCCACAGCCAATGCCCTAAACTTTCACATAGCTAAGCTAAGGGAATTCCCTCCGTGTGGGCCAAAATAGAAGAAATTTGTTCTATTTTGGCTTGCTCCCTAAATTCAGCTGTACCTCATTTTTCCCATAACTCCCACTGCCTCATCCACACTCCCCGCAAATCATTTACCTTGATGATCAATAACCCATAACTCACCTTGCCAAATATGCTTCAAGCCGCACTGTACAGAATCACAGCTGTGCATTGGGTAAAATCAATGCCTCAAGCACTTCCCTGACCAATCTGTGCCACCCCCCATACTATACTGATTTACTGCACAGCTGTGGATGCTCTTAGAATGTTAGCCAGCTTTGATCTTAGTGTATATTGTTCAATGTACCAACAGAAAATCCCAGGATTATCAGATGTACACCTGTAACAGATGCTGAAATTTGGATCCTGAGGTTGAAGACATCAATTTGAATACTTCAAATGCCCACAGATTTTGCAATTGACAAGTAAAAAAATGGTTCATTGGACAGCTGAACTCTTTCCCAGAGCTTTCATTCAAGCAACAAGGTTATGTCTAGCTTTGCAAAGAATCTATGTTGCTTTATAGAACAAAATTCAAATCAAAAATGGCTGATTTGTGAGACAAGCTGAAGATTTGACTCATAATCCATGCCCTTCACCCTTCAAGCTAAGGGAAAAGGTGTGGAGTGTGTGGCGCAAGCCACTCCTTCACATGTCTTAGGTTTAGATTGTGGATGCTGTACTTGCTTGTGATAGATCACAAGTGGGGGCATCCCACTACAGGTGGAACCTAGCAATCTCCACAGGAGGGATTTCAAAATAGTGTTTTTGCAATCTATTCCCGGTGATGATTGCAAGCATTTGACTGGGGGGAAGAGTCCCTTCAAACCATAGGGTGGGTAGGGACACAAAGTCAAGAGGGTTCAAAAAGGTACTTTCTGCACAGAAATTGTCCTGAGAGGGAAGAAGGATCATGAAGAAGAGGCTGGCAAAGATTAGGGAAAGGAAACAAGTTCCTGAGGGCCTTTTTGGGAGAAAGGAACACACACTCAAGAGACAAGATCTCTTGAGTGCCTCATTTCTCATCATTCAGGGCATGGCAGACTCCGAGACCCTTGGGTGGTATCTGATGAATCCCTAAAGCCAGACCTTTCACAAAGAGTGGTTGCTGACATCCTCTGGTGACACATTCTGCAAAATTTAAAGTGTCTACTTGGTGGTGCATGTTTCATTTTTGCATTTAAAAATTCACAGAATGTGATTTCTGGTCAGACATTCCTCAAGTGAACACACCCTTAGAGAGCGGATCTGGTGTTCTAATGAGCCCAAAATCAAGTCCTTTGACTCAGAATTCCAAATGTTATGAGCATTTCTAGAATTTCAAGTTCTATCATGAAATTCAGAAGCCAAATTTCAACATTTGTTACAGGTGTACATATCATGAACATAGGGTTATTTGTTGGTACATTCAACAATATACACTCTAGAAATACCAACAAATACTCATCTTGAAGCTCTCAACACCAGGAACAAAGGATACTTTTTTTAGCCGGGAAACAAGCTGATATGTAGCCCTCACTTTGAGGTTCCTGTGCTTACAATTCTCATCGGTCATTGACTTCACATTAAAACCCCCTCTCATCTTCATATGCTTACCCTCAACTTGAAATGATAGCAACGGCTGCAGCAATCTATCCGCTTGGTTCTCTCCCTTAGTCATGCCTTCACAACATAAGATGCAATTTTAGTATAATAACCATGCAAAACTTACACCATCCTCAAATTCATCATCAGATACTGAAGATTCAACTATGCAACAGCTCATACTCCAATTTGTCCAAGATCACCTCAACCAAGTTGTACTCCAATCAGGAGTAGATCCAAATCTTTGGATAGATCATTTTAGGCTTAGATGGGACTGGTGGTTCTGAGGGTGATATCTTTTCAGGTTCAAGATGTCAAATATTTAATGATATCTGCTTTAGATTTTCAAATAGGTTCTTTTAGTGGTGTACCTCAGACATAATGGGTCAGAGTAGCTCAATTTATTTAGATACCTTTTGAGTTTGAAATACCACCTCAATGGTTTTTTTAATATCAGCCAGTCAAAAAGCAAAACCTATGCCTTTCATCTGATTTGATCAATTTAATTGATTCAAATCAATGGTTTCACTCACATTGATTTGAGACAATTGATTACATTCAATTGGTGAGCAATTAATCCGCCAATTCACTCACCGGTTGGTTACTTTTGATTGATCTGTGAGGTACTTGAAGTGTGTGTTGGCGCTGGGGAACCCAAATCTCACTTTTCCTGGTTGTTCCTAGTTTCTGTATCTAAGATTCCAAAAAAGGTAGAGTCTACCTTTCAGTCTCTCAAGGCAGCATCTAACTTCCAGTCTTGAGTACCACAAAGATTTATGTTTTCCGCTCAGTAAACATTATATTCTTT